TGAAAAGAGACCATAGCCATCACTATCTACAGCCTTATTTCAATGAACTCTTCTATCCAGTAGCTAATACACAGAGCCACTAGAGTTCCTCTCACCCCTTGTATTTTCTCTCATTGCTGAGATGTAATAACAGACACCCAGAGTTAAAGGAGCAAACAGTTACCTAGCTGGCAACTTCAGTGGCCATGTCTACAAGTATTGCAGAGGAGAAGGATTTCATGGAAGCAGAAGATAACAATGCAACAAAGGACAGCCACAGCTCTCTCTATCCCTTCCATCTCATCCAGGGTACCTAGGACAGGCAGCATGCACACTCCTAATCCCCACCTATGAATGCATGAGCCTTTGGGGACACCTACGCAGGAGACATAATATTCTCATGTATTATTTTATATTAATATTTATTACATATACAGTAATGATAAGAATTTTGAGGTGAAAATACTTCCAATTTACACTATTACGATTCATAAAACTCCAAGCACAGTATGTATATTACATAATGATTAACTTAGGACAGAAGAACAAGTGTGACCTTATCACGGGGAAGTTCTGGATGAAGGATTCCATGAAGAAAAGTAGTTTATGCTTTATACATGTGGGTATTGTATTTTGTTTGCAATAGAGGAGAAAAAGAGAAAAACAAAAAAAACCCTGCATGTCAGCCCGCAGAGTTGAGGGCCCTGAATTCGTCCTGATACTGTAAACCATCTCCAATGCTGTGGAAAATTCTGGGGAAGGTCACCTTGTGTAACTCACCATTGTGAGCCAAGTTCTACACTGGTCATACGCAAAGCTACAACTGAGAAGTTCTTATTAAATCAGGCACTGTTGAAACTTTGTGAATTAATGATACCACAAAATAGTCACTGGAGCTTCTACATGTCCACATAGCAGTACAGAGGGTGAGTAGAGCTGATAGACATTATTTTCTATATGTCTCAGATGGGCTGGGCAGGTGGCTAAGCATCAGAAGCGCCAGCCTGGCAAGCACAAGGTCCATGAATAACTACTACGAAGACAACAATACACAATGTGTTAATTATTGTAACTGTCTTATAAACCTGTTTTGAAACTGTCTCATTGTTATGTTTTTCCATAAAATTAATAAAAAAACTTCTTTGTATGTTTCAGAGAAAAAAATAGATATGAATATCTAAGAAAACAAAAAAATATAGCCATATATAAGCAATTATGGTAGCCCAGGCCTGAACACAAAGGACACATCTGGTCCTGAAG